AGCTTCCAAGAAATTACTGTGAAGGCAAAGTCTGCAAAGTGCTCAGACTCTCAAAATCTTTCAGCATTGTTCCAATGTTGGCTGAGTCTCGATGAGGCACTTCTCATTCTCATCTCTCGCAATCACCAGTGGCTTTGGAACAACGGCCGCTGTGTCCTGCAATCAGGATGCTTCGAACATGCTGTCAATCGATGCTAGTGTCAAATCGAAGCATGGTTTCGTGCAAACGACAAACAGAGCTAGTCCATGCAACACCCTGAAATGGGTAAACTAGCATGGATCCATATTAAATATGGATCCTCTATTCTATTGAATTCTGTGTATTCAATTGTTTATTATTGTTTATTATTCTCTTGCCATCAACTTGGCCAAACAACGTGGCTGAACACCCAACTGGTGGCCACTAGTGTCGCCTTGAACTCGATCTCAGGCCTGCTTTGTCGCTCCACCACCTGTGGGGCCATGTGACTCGAGGGAATGGAAGGGCCGCAGCTAGCACAACAAAGATATACAAAATATCATCATCTTTTTTCAAATATCACATCATCAGATCGGCTGTCCGACATGGATGGAAGAAGCTGCCAAAAGCTCTCCATGGGTTCTGCCTATCAATCTGAATATCGCTGAATACTTGTCATCGGGCATACCACACGGAATTCAACCGGGCATGTGAGCGTGTCGCCTGCGAGGGGTAGTTCTGCAAACAAAGTGCAGCATTCAGCGTGTGGCGAATCACCTCCGTGCGGTGGACATGTACCGACACCGAGTTACCGACCTGTCGTCTCGGCGCTCGATTCGCTCGATGTTTCGAATGTTCTGTCGCTTCTGTCGGTTCTGTCGTCTCGGCCTCCAGGTAGGGCGCCAACGTGTGGGCCATGGCGATTTTGTGTCGCCCCTTTTCCACTCAGCGGAGACGCCGCAAAGATTTTGGCGGTGCTGTTAGAGATCAAACAAATGGCCACTTAACATTACTTAACAACATAAATAGTACATATATATATATGTATAATATACATATGCAATAGGTGCACTAGGGATGGAAGTCACTGATGTCCGATGTCACTGATGTCACTAAGGTTCCAACCGACACCGGCTTGGCCGCTTAGCAGGTTCGCTGAACAGACATACACAAATCTGAGCCTACACGTTGGTTGTATCGTGCTCTTTGTATCTCTTTGTATCTCTTTGTGGCATTGACAAGATGTCCATCTATACAAATACACTGTGCTTCTTCTGGAGTGGCGGTAAAGGAGCCAAGTGTTGCAGTGCTGTTGACACTTACAAGCAAACCACACAATAAGCAAATCCAGAAAGTCAAGTCTTTCATTTTACTCATCGAAATGCCTTGCCGTACTCGCAAATCATTGTCAGGCAAATGTCGAGATGCGACAGCTGAGATATGCTAAGATTTTTTTTCGACAAGTTTCCTTGCCTCTTGACTCTCGGCCTCTTGGCCGGCAGAAACAGCTTGTTGCAAATCAAATTCTGCTACAAACCTGGCATAGTCTAGGTATGTCTAGGTGTCATGGAAATTGCATGCACGAATTTGCCGGGCCCATACTTTGGAAGGGTTGCAGTTGCACATCGACAAATAGTCACATACCGCAGGCCCTGGACCAATTGTAATTGCTTACTTAGACAGGGGACTCGGCAGTACTAGGTACTTTTTCTACTAAGGCAAGGGCAGTCTCCGACCAGAATTCAAACTAAAGTCAGGTCGGGAATTGCCATCGGTCAAAAGACTTGACTAAGAAGGACTAAGGTGGATGCTTTCACTCCACAGCTATACTTTGGTAGGCTCCATAGGCTGCCACCACCAAGGAACAGCAAAAAAGCCACCAGAATCCTTGGAATTGAGAGGTTGCTTGCAGGAGTTTTCTTGGATCAAACCTCTGGGATTGGACTTCCAGTCAAGTTCAGAGTAAAGCGTGCTGTCCGAGGTCAGGTAGAGCTTTTTGCTTTTCTGCTAGCATTGATGGGTGTTGGGGTTTGTTGGTAGATAAAGCGTTGATCACGAGGACCTTTCTGATAGGTGCCTAGGGGGGTCCGCATCTGCCGGAGCTACGTGTTTAAAGGTGTTGCTGCCATAGCTAATTCTGTTTGCCAAGCCGCTGCGCTTTCGTTTCTCAGGCACCATGTTGTGGATATTTTCTGGAGCCTCCCGATCTATGGACACAGCACACAGGACGGAAGCACAAAATGGATGTCTTCTATCTTGCACGGCAGCCAACATATTCAGCTCCTACGGGCCCATGTGATCAGAAATAGCATTGGCTTGCAGCAAACATGAGTCTTTCAATCCCTGTGTGACAACTTAGAATTGCTGAAACTCAAAATGTGTTGATCAGGTCCAGAGCAGTGAAAGCACAAGTTTTTCCATAGGGCGGATCGAGTCCCCTCCATTTCAAGTCCGTTCTTTCATTCTTCAAATGAGTTTGGCTCGAACATGGATGTCTATCAATCCTCTGTACAAACGCACATTTGGTCAAGCGACAAGCGCCTGAACCCTTTTCAAGAGCTCTGCTAATGGGATGAGAACCCAGGCAGATAAAACTGGTACGGCGGTACAGCCTAGAATTGCCTAGAAATCGCGGCCTTGGAACACCCGAATTCAGCGAATACAAAGGGCTGGACCACTCAAAAAAGATCCAATATAGCCCCCATCCATGCAATTGAAATCTGATCATCAATAGTAGACTCCTCAGCCTATTATTTTTGATATAATCGCAAAGACAAAAGCTCCAAAGTAGTAACCCAACTTTGTGACTTGAAACCCATGAAGTCTCACTCCATGCATGTAGAAACCGGTCTCGCTTTGCTTGATGTACTGGACAATGTACTGCCGACCCAAGTCCATCCAGTCAGGGGAACTTGACGCATCCGCATCATCCGCGTCATCCGCATTGGTAGCCTCCAGATTCCAAGAGTTTACCAAGGGAGCTACACGACTGGCTTTCTCCGTGACTCCTGCTGCTCGCATGAGAACATACAAGAACAGGAGTACCGGGGGAAAGACCCAAGCTGTAAACAGCAAGAGTGGAAAGCCGCCGTTCAGATCTTCTGGAATGAAACGATTCTCATCGCTTTGCAAGAATGCAATCTCAACCAAAAAGAGCATAGATGCGCCACATGATATGCCGAGCACAAGCATTGATCCGCTCAGTTTCGTAGAGATCTGCCGTAAGGTTGCTTGCAGGACATTCCATTCTTCCAGAGCTCTTCCACAGTCCATATCACGGAAGAAGTTGATTGAAAAGCTGTCAATGGCTAATTCAAGTCCTGCCACCATATGCAATTGTGCGTAAGCTACTGCTGCAAAGCCAACGGCCATAATTGAAAACGTGAGGCTCGGCTCAAAGCTATGTTGCACTTCGGACAGGTGGACAAGCCAGCGACAACCAAGGATAAGAAACAGGAAAGCCAAGACTTCCTCGAAACGCCTCCTGGAGACCTTCCTCCAGTCTTGCGAAAACCCGCACACAAACGCATACCTGACTTTGTGAAACTTTGTGAAACTCACCAGGCGATGACCAAAGAATAATTAAACAATTGTCTTTGCCAAAAATGTAAAGGGAAAAAGGAAAACTTTACACAACAGAAAAATGAAAAGAAGAAAAAATAGTGAACTTCGTCGTGGAGGTCGCTGTTCCATGCTGCCTTCGGAAGATCCCAGCAATTCTTGGATATTGGCTCTTCGCAAGCTCCAGGTCGCAGCGATCACTCCCACCAAGTAGCAAAGTACGGTTGACGTCATGATGGTGTGAACGTCTTCCACTAACAACCAAGCTAACAGAGTTGTTGGCGCAAGCAGGATCAAAAAGACACAGAGCGTCCAAAAATGCCCAAGCCAACGATACTGCAAAGGTAGGATACATAGAAGCTGGAGCCAAAGTTTGGCCGCAGGTGGCATGGAGCTTGAGGTCCTTGATACCTGTGTAGACTCTCGTTCTTGGGCGGTCTTGTTTGAGTAGGATTGATTTACACACATAGCAGCATCGTGGTTTTCACGCAGTTCATCTAAAGACATGCGTTGACACTTGCCGAGAATTGCATTTTTGTCTGATCCGGAGGTTTTGTTGGCACCTACTCTTTTTGACTTGGAATTGGTTCTTGACTTGGAGACTGCTGAAGAAGCACGTGTATATTCATTTTCTTCAAAATGGTCAGACTCGTCCAAAGAAGCCTCTTTGGCTTCTTGAATGGATTGAAGAGTGTGGCTGCTCTGTTTCCTGACCAAAAGGTCCTTGGCTGTCTGTGCTTCCAATTCATCCAGAGTGGAGGCGTGTGAAACCCGACCCTTGGCTTTTGGGGGGTTGGTCCGGTTGGTCTTTCTCCGATGCTTCGAATCCTTTACTTTCCGTCCTGTCGACTCTGTCGACCTCCCTGAGGAATCTGAGGAGTCACGGCGTGCACATATCGGTACCGGTACCACCTCATCCTGGCACAACTGGCCTGGCTGGCTCGGAAAGCAAAGGAGAGGTGGATCTTCCAGCGGCACGAAACTTTCTGCAGGAGCGTCTTCTTTCCTTGGGAAGGAAGGCTGGAAAATACTGCGAAGGAGGGAGTGGACATCTTGTAGAATTGCACCTTGAGAAGACTGGGAGTCTTCGAGGCTAGTCATTTTGCATTGCACGTCTTTCATCCACCATCTGACTTCTTGAAGACCTTGTTCAAGCTCAAGTCTCAACGTGCTCAAGTGTTCCTCAAAGTTTGGTTGCCTCTGTACAATGGCACCAGTCTCCAAAGGTTGCTCGCTCTCTCGGCAAGAATACATTGCGAGAAGCAAAGTTGAGGAGACTTGGCCAAGCTTCAAAATAAGCTTTGAACAAAATGCATCAAGTGATCAGCACGCATGTGCTTCAAAAGTGTGACCTTTACCCAGCAAACTAGGATACTTATGTATAACTAGGATGTCTGTAAACCTGCGTCCACTCTGTTTCAGTTGGCCTATGTTGGCACTCAAAAGCGGTTTCAAAAATGATCAAAATGTATTTTCTTATTGTCTTCAATTTGTCTTCAATTTGTCTTCAATTTGTCTTCAATTTGTCTTCAATTTGTTCTCAATTTGTCTTCATGGCTCGTGCCTCAGCTGTTGACCGGACTTCCTTCGTCTCAGCACCTTCCTGAGGAATGTGTACTTCCTTCAGGAAGACATCTCCTTGAGAATTGACCACCTTGGCATGGCAAAGTCTACCAGTCTACCAGGTGTTAATCTGCTAATCACATGCAGACTTTGCCACAGTTTTGCAGAACAAGAACCTTTGACGCCAAATTTAGTTTTAATGGCCGAGGTACTTGTCTCCTCTGTCGCAGTTTTTGAACCAATTCGCTGTCCAAATCCCCTGCCCATCTGGGCATCCAAGTTGAAACGAGGCAGGGAACTCCAGTGGGAATCCACAAAGAAAACATCTATCGAAAAAAAATGAAAACTCTCACTTTTGACCTTTGGAGTTTTGCATTGCTGAAATCCTGAAGAACTCGCCAAGACTTCGTCAGGACTTCGTCACTTTCTGGGCCTTCGCCAAGGTCGGTTTCTTCGGCGTCCCTGCGACGTGGCTCCAGCTCTGCCTGCGGGACAGATCGGGATTCGACGTCCAGGCGCTTCCTGAGTTTGGCCGCAAGCCTCGGATGCTGAAGTGAATCCAGTGATCCAAAAGTGTGAAATTTGCGTGCACGCATATTGTATAACATATGTGTTGACCGGAGAAGGGGGGAAGGAAAACCAGCTCTAATAATGAAAACCCCTGCGCACAGCAAATTGCCTGCATGTAATAGCTTCAACATTGAAATCCTCCAGTTGTAGCGTAGCCCTAATTGCACAGAAAGTTTTGAAGCAGACATCCTGAAACTTTGTTGGTGGCTTACGTATCTTCAGTCTCTCGAGCAATGTATTTTTCTCATCTGTTTGTTTTACGGGCTAGAAACCGGACTGAGGGGGAACCGATCCCCTATTGCAGCAAACTTCCTGCGCGTAACACCTTCAAAACTGGAGTTCTTCCCGTAAGCATCACAACTGAAAGCATTAAATTTCCTGCGCAGAACACCTTCATAATTGGAGTTCTCCAGTTGCAGCAAACCCGCGCAGGCATCACGACTGCGCGTGCTCCAGCGGTCGCCTTCCTAAAGCTTTGTTGGTCAGCTACGTGTCTCTAGTCTCTTAAGCAAAATATTTCGCTCTATCGATTTCTCTGATTGGCTACTTAGCTCACCCACGAAAACCCAGACCGAGGGCCTACCGCAGCCAGTTGTTCCCAGCGCGTAACAACTTCAAAATTGGAGCTCTTAAAAGGAACACGCCGTTCTTGGCTTAACATAAGCTCAACATGGCTCGAATATGGCCCCAACATCGCCTCCAAGAGCCGACATGATCCAAAAACGACGTGTTCCTTTTGGGCCGGGTAAAGGCTTAAAAGGAACACGCCGTTCTTGGCTTAACATAAGCTCAACATGGCACCAATATGGCCCCAACATGGCGTCTAAGAGCCCAACATGGACCGACATAGGCCTAACACGGCTTAACATAACCGTGATCTAAACATGCAGACTCTAGATGTGGTTCTTGGTATCTGCTTCCGTGTCCATTGGTACGCCACACGATGATAGCGTTCTGTACTTCGCCAAAGTATCTGCCACGGCCCATTTATTTTTCCACGATCCCACATGATCCCAGTTGTATCAAGGTGTATCGTCAGAAACAGATGACGTGACAGTCCACAGTATGCAAAAGGTGTCGCATGTGACATTGACACAATTCCACAGCAGAGCTGCCAAAGGCCAAAAGGAAAGGTCCTGCTCTGGTTACAGTTCTGTTAGGCCGGCGTAGCAGTACATCTGTCATGTTCGTCGTTCTTACCATATGCGGACGCCTTTATCCACCTGTCCATGTCTCCGTCTCACATCTAGCTCTCTAGCTTTCATCCGCGCGCAGCCAAAGACAGATGACGTGACGGCCCATGTTCAGCAAACCACATCGCATTTGCCGCTGTCTCTTAAAGCGCGTCCTGGATAGTAGCCGGGGTCCCTTCTCCCACTCAAAGTCTGCAAGCACAACTACCAACTGCCAGCGCAAAACACCGTCTCCCAAGCAGAAGGAACAGCATAGCTCTATGTCAGCTTGTCATTGAAGCTTGCTGCCAACAAAGTCCTTTGACCTCTGTCCATCTACCTACCTACCTACCTACCCATCCATCCATCTATCTATCTAGCTATCTATCAACCTATCTGTCCGGCCATGCGTCAATCCATCCGTGTATCAAGCTAACTCTCGGTCGCTCGCTCGCTCGCTCGCTCACTCACTCTCTCTCTCTCTCTCTCTCTGTCTCTCTCTCTCTCTCTCTCCCCCTCTCTCTCTCCTTCTCCGTGCCCGCTTCTCTGCATCTATGTAGCTATGCTCGGTCTATCCGTCCATACATCCCCCCATGTAATCCAGCCAGCCATCCATCGCAATCGTTCTATCTATCTATCTGTCTATTTATCTAGCTAGCTAGCTATCTACCTATCTACTTATCTATCTATCTATCTATCTATCTGTCTGTCTGTCTGTCTGTCTGTCTGTCTGTCTGTCTATCGATCTCTCCATCCATCCATCCATCCATCCATCCATCCATCCATCCATCCAATCCATCCAATCCATCCAATCCATCCAATCCATCCAATCCATCCAATCCATCCAATCCATCCAATCCATCCAATCCATCCAATCCATCCAATCCATCCAATCCATCCAATCCATCCAATCCATCCAATCCATCCAATCCATCCAATCCACCCAATCCATCCAATCCATCCAATCCATCCAATCCATCCAATCCATCCAATCCATCCAATCCATCCAATCCATCCAATCCATCCAATCCATCCAATCCATCCAATCCATCCAATCCATCCAATCCATCCAATCCATCCAATCCATCCAATCCATCCAAACCATCCATCCATCCATCCAATCCATCCATCCAATCCATCCATCCAATCCATCCATCCATCCATCCATCCACCTGTCTATCTCTCCTGTCTATCTCTCCTATCTATCTGTCTATCTATCTATCTATCTGTCTATCTATCTATCTATCTATCTATCTATTATCTATCTATCGATCTATCTATCTACCTATTGACTCCATCCGTCCCCCTGTCTAAATCAATCTATCTATCTATCTATCTATCTAGCTAGCTATGTACCTATCGTTCTATCTAAGTATCTATCTGTCTATCTATCTATCTAACTAGGAACACGGCCTTTATCTGGCCGTGGTGTTTTTGTGATCAACGGGGTGTCATGGATGATGTTTGATGTGGTCGTGCCAATAGGATTTTGGCTGATGTGATTTCAAAGGCGAAAAAACCCTGATTCTGGTGCATAAAATCAAAATCTAGCGTTTCGCCTAGGCGAAACTATCATTTTTGATGTTTCTCAGAACTCCCCAACTAATTCGACCTGTATTGTTTTGATGTGAGTTCAAAGACAAGAAACCCCCTTTTTCTGGTGCATGAAATGAAAAAACAAGTATTTCGCCTAGGCGAAAACGCATTTTTTTGTAATTCCACATGTTATGTATTGATGAAGTTGGCACAGCCTGCTAGACGAAATTGCAACCGACCTGGATTTCAACATGTTATGTATAAATGAATTTGGCACAACCTGCCAGACGACCTTGCAACGGACCTTCACTTGCATCGAACAGCTACCTATAACCAAAGACAGGCGTTCATACAAGTAAATGATGTTGAAACCAAAGAAACTGATCGCACTTCCAGCGGACATTTTCTGATTGATTTTTTTTCTCACAGCAACTGTTCGAGTTCTTCCAGGAACCTTTGGGGATCTGGATTGTCCAGGGTGGAGCGCCAGCACCACATGAACACATATTGCGTTACTGACGGGTGCATCGTTGAATGCCCACGGTCTTTGTGTTTCAAGACCATGTCTACACGCACATAACGGCACACACAGAGACGAGTCCACTTACCTAGCAAGTTCACATGAACGTTAACACATGCCCCACCCCACCCCACCCCACCCCACCCATGTCTACACGCACATAACGGCACACACAGAGACGAGTCCACTTACCTAGCAAGTTCACATGAACGTTAACACATGCCCCACCCCACCCCACCCCACCCCACCCCACCCCACCCCCCCCACCCCACCCCACCCCCCCAATGTGCACGAAAACGCACGGCCAGATAAAGGCCGTGCTCCAACTATTACCCTGATGACTTCCATGCATCTATTGATCTCTCTATCTAGCGATCTCTCTGTTTCTCTCTCTCTCTCTCTCTCGCTGTCTCGCTCGCTATCTACCTAGCTATCTATCTAGCTATCTAGCTATCTATCTGCTCTCCATCTATCTCTCCATCTATCTATCTACCTATCTACCTGCCTACCTATCTACCTATCTACCTATCTACCCATCTATCCATCTATCCATCCATCTATCTATCTACCTATCTATCTACGTACCTATCTGGCTATCTATTGAACTCTTCCCGTCTATCTATCCAGAAACTATCTGTCCATCCATCCATCCAACTGTCATACATCGAGCTGTCTATCTCTCACTCTCTTCCACATCTCCGTGTCTCATTTCTAGCCATCTATCCCTCCATCTATCTACGGATCTATCTGTTCATCTACTTGCACATCTGTCTATCTGTGTATCTATCTGCCTATCTATTGATCTATTTGTCGTCTTATTTAGCCCCAATATTTGTCTACCTATTTAGCCCCGATATCACGGACCACTCTCAGACGATTCTCCATCCATCTGTTATCGGCCTATCTATTGATCTAGGATGA